ATCTACAAGAAGAAGGAAGGAATCACTTCTAAAGAGGGCATGAAATTTAAAGCTCGGGTGGTTGCACGAGGCTTCTCGCAGAGGGAAGGAGTTGACTACAATGAGATTTTCTCACCAGTGGTCAGACATACTTCGATCAGAGTGCTACTAGCAATAGTGGCACATTATGACTTGGAGCTCGAGCAGCTAGACGTGAAGACAGCTTTCCTACATGGAGAGTTGGAGGAAGAAATTTACATGACTCAGCCAGAAGGATTCGAGGTTCCCGGAAAAGAAGACTATGTTTGTAAGCTGAAGAAGTCCTTGTATGGACTTAAGCAATCTCCGAGGCAGTGGTACAAGAGATTTGACAGTTACATGCTTGAGCTGGGCTACAACAGAAGTCCATATGATTGTTGTGTATATCACAACAAGGCAGAGGATGGTTCGATGATATATCTAGTTCTGTATGTGGATGATATGCTCATAGCTGCGAGGTCAAAGTCTGATATCCAGAAGTTAAAGGGGCTTCTCAGTGCTGAGTTTGAGATGAAGGATTTGGGAGCTGCTCAGAAGATCTTGGGTATGGAGATTTACAGGGACAGGTCGAAGAAGAAGCTTTTCTTGTCACAGAAAAGCTACATCCAGAAGATATTGTCGAGGTTTGGCATGTCTTCAGCAAAGCCCTTAAATACTCCTAGTGCTTCAAATGTTCATCTATCCTCAGCTTATGCACCGCAGTCAGAGGCTGAGAAGGAGTACATGTCGAGAGTCCCATATGCTAGTGCAGTAGGTAGCTTGATGTACGCTATGGTATGCACTAGACCTGATCTTGCACATGTTGTTAGTGTTGTCAGCAGGTTTATGATACAACCTGGGAAGGAACATTGGCAGGCTGTGAAGAGGATCTTTCGGTACCTTAAGGGTACACCTGATGTGGGGATTAGCTTCGGAAGTGATACAGAGTGCTTGGTGTCTGGGTATTCTGACTCGGACTATGCTGGAGATGTTGACACGAGGAGATCGATGACCGGTTATGTATTCACTCTTGGGAGTTCTGTAGTGAGCTGGAAGGCAACTCTGCAGTCAGCAGTGACTTTGTCTACTACCGAGGCAGAGTATATGGCATTGACAGAAGCTGCTAAGGAGGGAATATGGTTGAAGGGACTGGTTGGTGATCTGGGTCTACATCATGATCAGGCAGTGGTGTATTGCGACAGTTTAAGTGCAATATGCTTGGCCAAGGATCAAGTCCACCATGAGAGGACTAAGCACATCGATGTGAGGTATCATTTCTTGAGGACAGAGAAGAGGATTAAGGTGAAGAAGGTTGGCACCGCGGATAATCCTGCTGATATGTTCACGAAGCCGGTTCCACATGGCAAGTTCCAACACTGCTTGGACTTGCTGAATGTCTTGAGTGGGTGACTCCGCCCTACGGGGCATTGATGGCGGGAGAGAGAGAATGAGCAGAGTACATCAGAGATTTCAGAGGAAGAGGATTCAAGTCAAGGTGGAGATTTGTTGATATGACTTGAATCTGACTATCAGCCGCTACGACTGGTAATCGGGGGTCTCACTGCCCGGTCAGCGAGTGGGGTCCAGGGGTTCGATGTTATTTGGGTTCGGGTTCTGGGCCTGGTCTGTAACCGTTTCCTTTGCTAGATTGGATTAGGTTTAGAGCCACATGGAGAAGTACTATAAATACTTCTCATACTCCTCTGTAATCTGTAATCTCCTTTGATATAGTGAAATCGGCTCTCTCTCGCCCGTGGACGTAGCTAACACACATCGTGTTAGTGAACCACGTAAATCGTGTGTCGTGTTTTCGATTCTCGCTTTCGTATTCTTGCTTTGTCGATCCCGGCGATTTTCCGATCCGTAGCAGCGCGTTTATAACATGTAGAGCTTTGAGGTCTTTTGGTTGACCATGTTTGAAACTTCAAGGGATTCGAGGTTGGCCTTACTTTATGAGAAGAAACAAAAGAGAAGAACACAGCAAGTGTTACCGGAAAGGGAACGAGCACAAGAAGCAAGAAATAACACAGAGACAAAAGGCATCTTGATTGCTTTTTGTTTACCTTGTATTGTACTAGATCCAAGGATTGAACAGACTAGCAAGCAAAACCTTTACTGGGTTTTTGTGAAGTTCCTTCGCCAGGAGCCCTGAACAGCGGCATAAACTAACCACCATAGAGAGGGAATTAAAAACGCATCATCGAGAATAATTCTTTTTGCGTACGACATCGCCACTCCCTTTGATTTCAGAAGATAATCCACATATTTGGTGTGGAAACAGAGAAATCGAATCCAAAAATGAAGCAAAGAGGCAAATGGGTATTTCTTTAAAGATCGAGCTCTCTCCTCCTCTGGCGCCGCCTCTTGGATACAGGTTCTGCCGTTGGTAACCGTAGGGATAGGGGTGGGAATCCGGTCTCGGTTTTTTGGTCAAATCGGAAATCGGACAGTTTAAACCGTTCCGGTTGTAACCGAAAACTGGATTGCATCCAATCTCCGGTTAGGCGATTTTGTCCAGTCAAAATGATTTAGACGACGACGTTTAGTTTACTTTGTTTAATAATTCCGTTTTTTTGGTTTAATAATTCCGTTTTTTGTTTAATACTTTGTTTACTATGGGGGAGGATCGGGAAGGGAAGATTGACGGCAACGGCGATGAAGAAGATGAGGAGGTTGGAAGTCGTTGTCGGGTATGGGGAATGAAGGGTTAGAGATAGGGATGCATTCGAGATTGGAAAATAGTTGAGTGGGTTATTTTAGGTAGGTTAGGTCAAGATCGGGTCATGGGTTAGGTTTAATGACGTGGCGGGTTTAATGATGTGGCAGGTTGGTTTTTAAGTTTTTCTGATTAAAATTGGGTGCTTGTACATTTCTGTTAGCCACGTTAGCAAAAAATTGACGCCGTTAACGGAGACTTACGGAAGGTAATGAAGAGTGACCAAACTTGAATTGTTTAAGTAATCATAGTGACGATGTAGGGAATTAAATATTTCTAGTGACTAAACATGAACATTTTTTGTAATCTCAATAACCAACCTTGCAATTAACCCTATTGTTGTTGTTTCCGTCACTCTTCTTCTTGGGCTTTAAGACTAACTCCAACCATGAGGAGTAAATATACTCCTCTTCAGAGCAAATTTGCTCTTTTGCACCCCAAATTCACTTTTCTCCTCCAACCATACCACATCTTAAATTTGGCCCCACCTTATTCTTTCCTTCTGATTACTATAAATTGTACTTAAATAAATCTTAATGTTTTTTTTCACTTTAATTTTTTCATACTTGCTCCTCATTAATTGAAACAAAATTTTTTATATAATTTTTTTTTATTTGGACATAATTTTTTTCGGAAAAATTGACCACTTTTTTGTACCGTTACATTTTTTTGTCGTTTTGTGTAACATATGACCGTTTTTTGTCTTAAAAGTTTACCATATGCAGTTGTGATAGATTGAAATATCCACACGCAGATGAAGTACTTCACTAGAATCAATAGGCTTGGTTCCACAGCAACACACCAAGTCGTTCGTAGTGACTTGGTTGAACACCTATGGAACAAGCATGGAAATTATTAGCCTTTGTTGGTTTGTGATGTTGGATTTGTCAGTTATCATTTAAGTTTGTTTAGCATTATTCGATTTGAAAAGTGTATGTCTAGTTTGGTTTGGTTCAGTTTCTCAATATTTAGTGTGCAAAAACTAGTTAAAAAGATTTAATATATAGAAAAAATTATGACCATTTTTTTATGGCCGTTAAAATATGACTGTTGAAATATGATCGTTATTTTTAATGTTCGTTATTTTGTCTGTAGCTAAATTTAGATTGTGAAAGAAATAAATAGAAAACAAAAAGGAAAAAGACAAAAAAATGTCCTAGAGCAAATTTGCTCTTTTGCTCCCAATTGGGTGCAAATATGCCCCAAATTTTGCTCCTACCCATTTTTGTTCCTTATTTATTGCAAGGTTGGAGGAGGTGAAAATGTATAGATACACTTAGGGGTCGTTTGGATGGAGGAATGTAGTGAGTGATTTGTGAGAGATTTTAATAAAATCTCTCATTATGCAGGATTTTAAAACAATCTTGCGTTTGGGAAGATGGGAGATTGTTGACATTAGAAATTTCGAAATCTCTCAAACGCAGATTTTTAAAATAGCTTATGGGGATCAGCTATTTCTAAATCCCACACTCATATATTATTTCTTCCATTTATATCCCTTATAATTTAATTAAAACCATCCTTACCCTCCTTTGTCACCAACTGAACTGATCTCCCTTTTCTTCTGTCCATCGCCGTTCAGCCTGCTTCCTTTTCAACAGACGCTCATAGATCCGAAACTAATCGCCGACGACCAGATCCAGTTCAGAGCCACACGCACCAGCTCCAGTCAGATCGAATCAAACATAGACGTTTCCCCAGCGTCTGGCTCCACACTGGTGTTCGTCGTCGGCTCTCGATCTGGCACCGAGTGGAGTTTTTCGCCTGGCGTTACGTTCCCTCTGCCGTCTAATGAATCCGGCGATGAAGGAGCTAAGATTTGGTCATGACTCATGCGTGGTGGTGGCGGCGGGGATTTGATGGTCCATTTATGCGTGAATCAAATTTATGGAGTTATGGGTTCTTGATGATGTCCAATTCTTAGGCATTCTGGGCATTTTGGGTTCCGGGAAAGGGATTGAGGAGGAAGACGAGGAGAAGCTTCCAGATTCCCCTCTCCGTTGCGTGGTGGAGACAACAAAAGACAACCGATCGGAGTTCTGATCTGGTTTTGGCGTCGACAATTTTTTTGGAACGAAGATGAAGGAAGAAGGGGCATAACTGTATTTTGCATTTTCTCCTTAAAAACCCAGGTTTATAAACAAACAAGTAATTTATTAAAATTCCTCATATTAAAAACCTAGGTTTTTAAATTGTGGGATTGTGGTTAAAAACCCAGGTTTTAGAAAACCTGCATCCAAACGACCCCTTATAGTCATTTGCTCCATGGTTGGAGACTTGGAGTTAGTCTAAGGAGGAAAGGTTTGAAGCCGATCTCCATTGCCCAAGCCTTTGGTAGAAAGATGTTTGGGCCGAGTGGACTGCCCACCAGAACTAATCCAAGTCCAACGGCAGATGCTCAATTCCCCCTCTGAGTCTAGAAACCCACCGAACACCCTGTCGATGAAGTGAAATGCAAATTCAGCCATCGACACAATCTCCGGCTACCTTAAGATTCCTGGCAGCGATTTCGACAGGTACCATCCAATTGGGTTTTACTCTATTCAAACTCAATACCGGTCCATTGAATGAATCAGTTCGCCCCGTTGAGCATCGCCGGAATTACTCGTTCGCTTCGTCAACTGTTGCTGTTCTAAGAAGGCAGAGTTTCTTGATTAGAGCACTGGGAGGAGGTATTCATCATAAAGTTGATAGTACTACTGGCAGTATAATGCAAGAGACTGAGGCTGATGCTGTGAGCATTATCAGAGCAATCACTCCTACTCTGGACCCAACTCGACATAAAGGCCAAGCGGGTAAATAGAGAACTTGAGAGTAAAAAAGATTGCAACTTTGATTTCAGTTTCACCCTCGGATGGTTGTTTATAGCTCTTACCGTTTGTTGCCAACTGGGTTTTGGATTGATTGTTAACTCAGGGAGAATAGCTGTGATTGGAGGGTGCCGGGAGTATACTGGAGCTCCTTATTTTGCTGCTATTTCAGCCTTGAAAATTGTTAGCTATGCATCTTTTATCTCTGGTGATACTATTTTTGTTCTAGTTTAATGGTAGTGTGTTGGGGTAGCTTAGTTGTGGTGTTGTGTTGGTTGGCAGGGTGCAGACTTGTCTCATGTGTTCTGTACCAAAGATGCTGCTCCTATTATCAAGAGCTATAGTCCCGAGTTGATCGTTCATCCAGTTTTGGAGGAGTCTTATAGTGTAAGGTATCCTTTTTGTTCAGCTTCACGTTACCTTGATGGAGCATAAAATCTGGTTAGTGAGCCTGTGTGACAAATTTAAACCTTTCAGGGAGGAAGAGAGAAAGCAGGTATCAGTGAAAGTTGTAGCTGAGGTCGATAAATGGATGGAGAGATTCGATTGCCTTGTTGTTGGGCCTGGTCTTGGAAGGGACCCATTTCTTCTGGTGTGTGTGTCTCTTAACCTTCCAGGAATATGATTTCCTGTGATTACATACTGAATCCTGTACAACATTTGTAGGATTGTGTCAGTGAGATCATGAAGCATGCAAGGCATTCGAATGTTCCAATTGTCGTAGATGGGGTATGCAACTGTGTTAAGGTGAATTAAAATTGGTCTCTGACAAAAGGCCTTTTGATTTCTCTTTTTTCGTTGTCGACTATAATGTGTTGAAATTCATTTTTTTTTTTTTTCTGGCAGGATGCACTCTTTCTTGTAACAAACAATCTTGATCTGGTTCATGGTTATCCATTGGCTGTTCTGACCCCCAATGTGAATGAATACAAGCGACTGGTTCAGAAGGTTCTCAAATGCGAGGTCGATGATGCTGATGCACACAAACAATTATCGTCTCTTTCTAAACAGTGAGTGAAAACAAACCACAGTTTGCTTGGTCTTAGTAGCTAGTCCAAAGGTGTTCTACTTACTGATTTTTATTGGTCAGGATTGGTGGTGTAACCATCTTAAGGAAAGGAAGATCTGACCTCATCAGTGATGGTGATTTAGGTACGGAATCAACTTGTTGACACATCAATTTCAGTTTTGTTTGTGTCCCTCTCTCGTTACGAGAATCGCTCTACTGGGTTATCTTTATGCAGTGAACTCGGTGAGTATCTATGGGTCCCCTCGGAGGTGTGGAGGGCAGGGTGATATTCTCTCCGGAAGGTGAGTGACCGATCATACTCGATCAATCATGTGAGGGCAACTTCATAGTAACCCTGTGTTTGATAACGAAACTTCTAAATCTTTACCCTACAGCTCTTAGACCTGACAGATGATCGAGATTTCCTTCCAAGCCACTTCTAATATACATGAAGATGTCATCGACCCATGAACTAGTTTCCGCCCAAAGAACCAAACCCATTTAAACCCAAACTACAACCTCATTAACCCTCAAACCCAACCAACAAACTCACCAACCCAACCTATTTTCCACCTTTACATGCCTGTGTTTACAAAGGAAAGTTATCCCCATTGACTGTTTTCCTTTTTGTTTGTGCTAGTGTTGCAGTATTTCTATCTTGGGCACACCGAGATTCCGTAGCTGCTGACAGGAATCCAACTATTCTAGGATGCATTGCCGGATCAGCTTTGCTCCGGAAGGCTGTATCTCTTGCTTTTGAGACAAGAAAAAGAGCGACTCTAACTACCGATATCATCGAGTGTCTTGGAAGAAGGTAATGATTCTGGCTTGTTTTTAAATCATTTCCTCTCCTTATTAGAAAGAACGAAGCTGAATGTCTGTATTTCCATTTCTTGCAGTTTGGAGGATATCTCCCCAGCCTGTTGAGCTTCATCTTCAGTCTTCTACCTAAACCTTATTTGTTGTAGAAAGTTGTTCTTCTTTCACCCCTGTCTGAGTTCTTCTTAGTTTAGTTGCCTTGTATATCAACGTAATAAAAAGGATTAGGTCCATTTTGATGCAACTTGTGCTTGAAGAATCTTGCCACTTTGATGCTCTTTCATGTAGTCTGAAACAACTTTTGGGTTGCTTTGTTGTAGCCCCCTGTACTGTGGAATGTGGATTACATGGAAGAATGCTTTTAATATCCCAAATTTAGGGCTCGGTTGCTTGTTAGATTTGAAAATGAAGGTTTTGAGTTTTAAAAATCTTTGGATTTATGATGGATTTGTTTCATTAGGGATTTGGAAGAGTACATTGTTTGTTTAGTTAAGTTTTATAATGGATTTATGAGGGATTTGTCTCACATTTTTTCCTTTCATTATCAAATCCCAAATGAAATGTGGGATTTGCAAATTCGTGGAATTTATGAATTTGGATCTAAAAAATTATCCAAATACGTGGGCCACATGGATTTGTGTCAAGTCCTTGATGCAAATTCCACAAGCAAACTATACCTACTAGTGTTTTCTTTATAAGAATTGTAAGTGTGTAACCATACAAATTAGATTGGTTGTTTTTACATGCTACTAAAAGTGGTTTGCATAATGATACTGGAAAAGGATGCTGGAAAAGGTAAGTCTATCCTATAACTAGAACTTGAGCCATCATGGTTGTTGAAATCTTATAAATCAAAGTTTTCAAAAGGCTTTGCGCCAGTCGAATGACAAATGGCTGGAGAACGTAAAATGTAAAAACGAAAAGCATCAACCATAAGAACATACCACAGAATACACAGCCAAACAAGAATCCCAAATTTTACAAGACAGACTTCAACCCAAAACACAACATCAAAACCAAATCTACTCTCATACCATCTTTCCATGTCTCAAACTACCAGTTCCATTACACAATCAACCCACGTTCAAGAATCCGAGGGTGGCTGCTGCTGTTCTTCCTCTTGCTGATGTGGCCACATCTGTGGCGCCATGAAAGGACGAGGCGGCTGACCATAAAGGGCCTGATCAACCACCGGCCTCCCGACACTCATCCCACCAACAGCATTCACCTGCGGAGGCTGCATGTAATAGTAAGGCACAGCAGGTTCTGGCGGACCCTGAAGTCCACCAGCCCTCGGGATAGACGCCAGAACCTCATCCTTCAAATCCTCCCTCGGAACGATATCGACCAAGAAGTCGAAGATATCAGTCCTGGTGATTGCGGCGGCAATGTCGTTCTTCTGGAGAGTCCTCCGCTTGTTCTCCTCGGTGTGGTTCCACGAACGCAAAGTGAGCTCGAGGATGAACATCTCGCACGCCCTGGCGAATATGACTGGAGCTTCGGCCGAGATCATCCTCACGTCCTCGTCGGCTTTCATTATCTTCTTGATCCTTGCCAACGGCAGGCTGTGGTTCTTGAAGTCGGTCGTCTGCTCGATCTCTTGGTACTGGTTGGACCAGAAGCTCTGGAGCTGCTGCTGAAGCTGCTGCTGCTGTTGCTGGTGCATGTGCTGATACGCCATCTGGTGCTGTGCTAACTGAGCTGGAGACTGACCTGAAGGTATCATCTGGTTAGGCTGGTATGGAGAGATTCCGTAGGGGACTGGAGCAGTAGTTCCAACCCCAGTTGCTGCAGGATGTTGCCCTTGTTGATCCATGACACTAACCTGTTCATTTTTATCCCAGAATAGATATTCAAGCACTCATCAACATTCAGTGAAGCAAATTGCCAAAGATTGGAGGAAGTATAATACAAAGTGGATGAAACCTGAGTGACGTCTCTATAAACCACTACTGCACTACATCATAGTACATGTTCAAAATCATGACTTTGTCTCTCGCCTTCTAAGATCATCTCTAGGCTTTTTTGTCGATAGTTAGCTAGAACTAACAAAACTAGTGACAATGACAAATTCCATAGGGAGGGAAAAAGATGCAAGAACTCCGCACATGATTCACAGTACACTAAAGAACGAACTGAATTCTGGGTTGGGACAAGGAACTGGAATTCGGGCTGCCCTACCAATTTGGGATGTACCTCTAAAACAAAAAGCCAAACACAGTAAAATATCGAGCACCCTAGAAAAGTCACATGAACTCCATCTAGATCGTCCACAAGCAAATTCCACACGAAGAATCATAGATGTAACCCTAAAGCCCTAGTCAAACTTGCATCTAACGTTGAGCAAACCCCACGCAGCAGAATTCAATGTCAGCAGAACCCAGATAGGAAGAAGAATCAAATTACAGAAAAGGGCACCTGTTGGACTCGGTTCTCCCTCCCTTGGGTCGTCTCCTCCAAAGAATTGATGCAAAACCCTAACAAGAATGGCACGATTGTTAGTTAGAGGGTGAAAAAGGTGAGAGAAGCAACAGAATATGCGGATAAACCGAGTAGGGGAAACAAAAGCGAAGAACTTTGAGATGTAGGAACTGGGGCGTGGGGAAAAGACCAAACCTTTTTCAATGGAAAGTCGGAGATAAAGGAGAGGCAGCGAGCGAGCGAGGGGAGGGATGAAATGGGAGAGACAGCTCAAAGTTGGGGAGTATGGAAATTGAATGGAGGGTTTGAGCTGAGACGGAAACCGTTGCGTCTCTTTGTCCCGTTGTGACCGACTTTTCCACTAGTCTTCAATTAACCCCCCAAAGAAACACATTTTAGGAGCGAAAAGGAAAACCAAACGCCATAGTTTTGGCCCATTTTCGTCGTCACCCCCCACATTCTTAAGGAACTTAAGATGAGTCATGATTCATGTATTATGATTGGTTCAGTATCCTATCACTTGTTAAGAATTTTGTTTTTATACGGAAAACGGTTATATACGGAAAACGGTTATCTACCTGAGCAGATTCGATGAGTAACCTTGTCGGGAGTAACCCAATGCATAATCTTTAATTTTCTTCTGGAAAAATCATTAATTTTCTTTCTCTTAATCTTTAACGGACGATTTTTCACTCGTTTTAACTCGGAATTTAATTTTTTTTGCACAGTTAGATCAGATTAATTGTGTTTTTCAAAAAAATATCCACTTTGATATTTTTTTGAACAAAAAAAATTTGTCAGTTATTACCAGTCTATACCATATGGTATAGACTGGTAATAACTAACAGCATACCATATGGTATGAAAAATACCAGTCAATACCATATGCTGTTATTTAATACCAGTCAATACCATATGGTATTAAATAACAGCATACCATATGGTATGAAAAATACCACCTCATACCAGGGTGGTATAGTATGGTATGGAATTGGTAACGAGAGGTTTGAAATTTTTTCCCCCATAAAATTTTGAAATCCAATAGATCGTGATTAAATCGTTCCTTTTGTGCAAAAATTTCCGAAAATGACTAAACAACGAAGGAGATACCATGTAGTATGGAGTTGGTAACGAGAGGGATGAAAAAAAAACTTCTCAAAAAATATTGAAAATGGATATCATTTTGTAGAGCACAACGAACTCGTTCCATCTGTGCAAAAAAAAATTGAAACCCGAGTTAGAATGAAGAAGATATGATCCAATTAAGAAAACTAGGGAAAATAAATTCCTTTAATTCTCCACCCTTAGATCTGCAGTCACTTAAAAGAAGGGTCCAGTTTTGGTTACTCATTGTTACTCACCCTAAGGTTACTCACCCTGTCTTGAGCCGTTTTCCACGGTGACCCCTTTGTAAAGGCGTAGACAGGTTGCTTGAAAAGGCTTCCAATTCGTATCTAGCTGTTCTCTTTTGGGGCTCAAGATAGGGTGCATAACCATCAATAACCAAATCTGGACCCTTCATTTAGAAAATCCAGATCTAAGGATGGAAAATTAAAGGTTATTTTTTTTCCTACCTTTTTTAATTGACTCGTATCTTTTTCGTTTTAACTCAGATTAAATTTTTTTTTTTTTTGCACAGATGGAACGAGTTCATCGTGCTCTACAAAATGAGATCAATTTTCAATATTTTTTTAGAAAAAAAAATTATGACCTCTCGGTACCAACTGCATATCATATGGTATCTTCTTCGTTTTTAATTCGTTTTTGAAAACGTTTGCACAGAAGGAACGAGTTCATCATGATCTATTGGATCTACAAATTTCTGGGTGAACAAATTACAGGACCAAAAAATATCACACAATACCATACAATACCACCCTGGTACGAGGTGGTATCTTATGGTATACAATGTTAAAAGTCGAAAATGACAATTAATATACTTCTACTATCATGTATTCAACCATCCTACAGTATTGGTTTGTTCATACCACCATGGTATGCTTTTCAAACCATAGGTATGCTCTTATTTCAATACCAGTCAATACCATATGGTATAGACTGGTAAAAAATGGCTCAATTTTTTTTGTTCGAAATATATATCAAAGTGGATATCATTTTGAAGAACACAATTAATTTGATCTAACTGTGCAAAAAAAATTTAATTTGGACTTAAAACGAGTGAGAAATCGTCCGTCAAAGATTAAGGAGGTGAAAATTAAAGGCTTTCCAAGAGAGAGATGATGCTGATGTGGGTGGGTTACTCATGGTTACTCATCATAAGATTACTGACCTGATCTGTTCCTTTTTGGGAATATCTTTGAAAAAAAAATGAAGGCGTAGACAGGTTAAATTCCGTATGAGTTATGAAAACCGTTATTCAAGGTAACGACTTTGTAACGGTTTAGACAAGTCAAACTTCGTGCTACTTTGTCAGGACAACCAATTGTTGTTGCCACTTGTTTATATATTTCTACTTTTTTAGAATTTACCATATTTCGATTTGGTTATGTAACTATGAGAGTAGAATGATTTGTCTCATATTTATCTTCTTTTTGTTTTTAATAGATGTATCGTATTATGGAAGATCATAAATTCATAATGACATTTCCTTCTCCATATATATTGTACATGCACATTGTTTACTTCTTCATAAATTCATAATGACATTTCCTTCTCCATATATATTATACATGCTACATTGTTTACTTCTTCTTCTTAATTTATATTCTTTATGTAAGTAACGACGTGACGTCTCCATTAGATAAATAAAAAGAAATAGAGCATTAGTCTTAAGTCATAATAACCCTAATTGGGCTATGGTGTTGTTTGTATGATTAACAAATCATAGTATCATACTAAAAGCAAGACTCATAGAGCACAACCATCAAACTTCCTCTAACTTTGCAGCCTCTTGCGTAAGCATCTGTGGCTCCAGATGACCCCAAATTCCACCACTAAATCCATCCATGTGCATCAACTCGGAGACATAATGAAACCCGATTTGACAACACCCTTCCTCAACACTAAATGCAGCCTAGGGTTGTTAGTTGGGTTGGTCACGGTCAAACCAAACTGACCAGTTAGTTAACAGCAATAGAAACCAACTCTCAGAGGCAAACTGACATCGACACTGACAAGCAAGTTGGTTAGCCGAAACTGACAGTTTGCAGTTCGGTTAGTCAGGTTGCCGAAACTGATAAATACGGCCTCATTTTTCTATTATCGGTTAAAACAAACCAAACTGAGAAACTAATCGACAGGAAAACATGGTTGTCGGGCTGCTGGCCTGGCAGTAGCTGCTGCTGGGCGGTAGTTGCTGACCTGCTACATACAAATTACAATACATATAAAGTATTGTAAAAATAAAGATAAAGATCCGACATACATAACATTAACAAATAACAATAACATAATCAAGTTCAACACATGAGTCATAAGTAACTCATAACTCACAAGAGTCACAGTTTATTAGTTCAACACATTCAACTTCAAGTTCATCTTCCGGAGTTTAAATAAACCATAAGCTCACATAAAAGATAAACATAAGAAGAAGTCCAAACATTCAACTTCCAAGTTCAAATCAACCACCTAAACAAACCTTGGATCGCACTCCAAATCATCATGTCCATGATCATTATCAACATTAATATTTTCATTCTCCTCATATGGATTAACATCAGAATCGTGGAGCTAGGATCAACAGGAAAGCTTTGGGTTTGGCCAACACTGTCACTCTCACTTTGACTATCCATTCTACCTCGCATAGTATTGTAAACTACAAGCAAAAAAGTTTTAGTAAAGTGTTAGGATATGATCATTGACAAAAGTTGAGAAAATGACAGTGATAAAAATAAAAGAGATAGTACACTTTCAAACTCAGTAAGCTCTTCGAGGTCCTTTTCATTATCAACCAATTGTGAATCGGGGAATTGTATCCAATCTTCCGCATAAATCAATGTCTCCACAATTTTCGGGGTCAAAGAGGACCTGAAGGAGGATAGAACCCGACCTCCCGTGATGAAAGCAGACTCCGAGGCAAAAAAGAAATTGGAACAACTAAAATATCATTCACCATTTCAGAAAGGACGGGATATCTAATATTGTTCTGAGACCAACATTTCAAGATATCGAACTTCTCATCATCCTCATCCTCAAGAATAGCATCATTTGCATCCCTTAGATAGCTGTCCAGCTCCGACGAACTGTGAATCCCCATATTAAGTTTCTCTCTCATCTTATTCTTGAACTCAGAAGTAAACTTTCCACCCAAACCATGCTAACTCCTACTAGTGACAGTAACTCCGGCATCAACCAAATCCCCCCGTTCACTTCACCATACATGTCCTTCAAGACAAAAGACACATACCCCAATTTGTGCCTAGGATCTAGCACACATGCCACGTAAATCATACGATATATCTTTATATTCTTCTCATTATCTGTCTTAAACCCATATTTTGCTACCTTTGCCCGAATTCTGAATGCCATTTGTTGCCTTTCTTCATCTGCATCCTTCTCCAATGTGCTTATCACCTCATAAATGTCCACAATGTAAGGGAAGAAGAGATGTGCAGTCACATATGACATTCCTAATACAAATAATTCAAGTTAGAAATAATGTAAGAATATTTCATAGTTCATACTTTGTAGAATTGAAAAGAATAAAGGCAAAATACACTTCTATAGCCATAACTTTACACTTTGTGACAAATATAGCCAAGTTTTGAAAAATACACTGATATAGTCATTCCGTCCATTAATGTAACGGAACTATAATGACTTCTGACTAGACAAAAGATGCAACTAATTTGGTCTATGTGGCATGCCAGGGTGGAAAATAAATTTAATTATATTTATTAATAAAAATACCCTACTTTACCAAATTATTATGTTCTTTCCTATTCTCTATTTTCCCTTCCCATTTTTCTTAATCCCCTTACTGCCTCCTAGATCCAAACCAGGAATCGACCTTTTTCTACCTCCGACGAGAGGATTGCTTTGGTTTTGCAGTTGTGACGGAGCTAACAACCGTCTATCCCTCTGTCTCAAAACCGCAAAGCCCTTCCATTCTCCATTTCCTTGTCAATAAAACCCATCATTCCCGACGATCTCCTACCACCATTGTTGACAGTAACGAACACAACCCAGTATGCGAGAATTTTTGATTCTCAGCATAAGCCGGACGATGAAGATCATTTCACAGCTGGCGAGAATAGGAACGAGACGGTGCCAACCAATGACGACGGGCGACGTTCGAAGGATTTCCGGTGGTTGATTTTGAAATCCCCAATCTATGAACCCTAATTTTTTTAGCGCCCACCTCGTCGTTGTTCTTGCCCGACTCTTCTTCACCGTCTTCGCACCAAGTTTGGTGGGAAGCGGCCTCTGATATTTGCTAGGTGGAAGCTGCTACCGGTGGAAACTACTGGAGCTCAGTCGCCACCTCGATCGCCATGGAGGTGCCAACAAATTCCTGGCAGATCTATAGAGCGGGAGAGAGACGGTGGAGAAGCAGAGAGATGGATCTATACCGGATCTCTTCACCCATACCAGATCTTATTTTGGTGTTTCTGGGTTGTGAACTCCAAAGAATCGATTGATGAAATGGCGCTTTTGATTTTGTGTAATCAATGGGTTTTGTCGTCGATTGAGCTCTTGGTTGTTCTTCTTCAGTGGTGGACAACAACAAAGGGGGCGAAGGAACTGGGGAAAAGAAGAAGAGGGAGTGAATGATTCTTGTTATGGGTTCCCAGAAATTAAAGAGAGGGAATTGGGAATGGGTTCGACGGCTGACGTTGTTGCCTCGTCTACAATCTTGGTTATGGATTGAGATTTGGAATCCACAATCTGGGTTGTCTATGAACAAACGACGCATCAGAGAAGAAAGAGTCGGCGGTGGGTTGCAGGAAGAATCCCCAATTCGGGAAAATATTAATTATTTAAAAAAAATTGTAATAAATAATATTTTTAATTTGACATGGCATGACATGTGGCATGACAGGTCGATTAAGAGTTGACGTGGAAGTTGACGAGGCGCCATCTCAGCTTGTTGTTGCCAGACGTTAACGGCATCTCTAACACCATCAATATTTTTAACAGAAATGGCTATAATTGTTAAGGTAGTTTCAAATTTGTGGCTATTTCTGTGTATTTTCAAAACTTGACTATATTTGTCACAAACTGTAAAGTTATGGCTATGGAAGTGTATTTTGCCAAGAATAAACTGTAAACATACCAAATAAACTGCAAGTGCATCACAACCTATGATACCATGACACAACATCCTAGAGATCAACCAATTCCATTACGAATTCAAAAGGATCGTGCAAACCCTAGACACACAACCTCGCATTTTCCACCATTACCACATTCGATGCAATTTTACTCATCAACAACACTTGTCGCAACATGTGAAATCGCATTTACCGCCTTCTGTCAAATGATCACCAATGAGCTGACACCTCCAAGGCCTATCACAAACACACACAAGTGCTTTCATTTCAATACACAAAAATTGTCGTAGCAAATCCTTCATCTACATGAAAGTTTGCGAGCGAGATATTCCACGTATGCAAAAATTAAAAAAGTAAAATCATGTGCAATAGATCTTCAGATTCACCAACCAATCAATAAAAGATTCCCTGTTCACTTATACTAAAAAAGTAAAATCACTTTTAAAAAATGATAAAATCATATGCAGTAGATCTCTGGGGCCACCGATAAATCGATCAAAAATTGCCTCACAAAAGTAGTAAGTTATCAACCTCAAACATAGGGATGGTAGGTACCCTACCTTATCCAACTCGGTCAACGCAAGTAAAACCTATTTTGACGGGTTTCGGGCCGGATTCGGGTTTAAACCCGGTACACTCAATGCAGTCAAAATCGCGCTTTAAAACATAAAAACTTACGGGTTTACACTTCTAAGTCACCAAAATGCTTTCCTTTCTTTGCCTGGGCTATGGGAGGAAGCCCCCGATGCTTTAGGTCGGCGGAGGTGGTGGAGCCTAAGCATCAAGGAGGAGGTGGAGGAGGAGGAGGATGAGGAGGAGGGAAAGAAGATGATGATGCATGGCTAAGCCGGAATGAGTGATGGATGCTTGTATGTGCATATGCTTGTGAATCGTTTTATGTGTGTGTGTTGTGATGACGATATTTAAATGGGTATGATCCTATTAATGAATTTGTGTTGGTTCTAAATATGTCTATGTGCGAGTGGTGAAAGAAAGGTATAACTATAGAAAGAAAGGTATAACGTTAACCGTAATTGCTCAATACCTTGTTTATGTTAAATACGCTACTAGGTTAGCTTTTACTCATTGAGGTGACGTCTCACCCCGTCAAAAAATTTCCTCAGATTAAAAGTGTTGGACGATAAGTCAAGGAAACTCAGTAAGGCTCAGCTCAGCATCAATGAGGTGGGATGGTGGACTCAGACTCCGACATGACTTGTTTATAGTATTTTGAGAGAAGATGGTCTTCTCTACTGTCATGTGTTTTGTATTAAAAGTTTATGTAAATTATGGTTTGGTTTGTAACACTACAAAAAAGAGGAGGTTTGGGGACGACAAAAGTCGTCCCCGGAAATAGGAAAAATCGTCCCTATAATTTTTGGGGACGACTAAGTGGTCCCCAAAGAGTGGTTCCCTATACTCTTGTCCTCTATTTTTTTGGGGACGACAAAAATGTAGGTCGTCCCCATTGCCAGGGACGACAGTCGTCCCCGATACGCGCAAGTCACCGTCTCGTTTCTTGTCCATGAAGGACAATATGTCGTCCCCATAGTTATAACTTTAGCGACAACAAGTCGTCCCCATAGCTATAACTTTAGCGACAATAAGTTGTCCCCTTAACATCATTTCTAGGGACAAATTGTTGTCCCATATAATTGATTTCATAATTGCATTGGACCAATATGGGGATAATTTGTTGTCCCCTTTTCTTTTTATAAGATCGACGTGTCGTCCCTATAGGTGTCAAATTGGAGTCCAAAATTCGTCCCCAAAATCTTTCTTCAAGGACTACGAGTGGTTTCCTATACTATATCTTTAGAGACGACAAGTTGTCACCTACGACTTTTAGGGACAAACAATTGTCCCTACACTTGTGTATTGGGGGACGAGGAGTTGTCACTTATACGCCTTTTGGGAACAACTAATTGCCCCCTATGTAACTCGTATGAATGACCTATTGTCCCTTAGCATATGTCTTTGGGGACGACTAATTGTTCCCTGTATCACTTGTGGGGACGATCAATTGTTCCTTAAACTATATTTTTTGGGACGCCTAATTGTCACTTATTAACTGGTAGGGACGGCCAATCATCCCTTAACAAGTGTCTTCAGGGGCATCAATTTGTAACGTACATAACTTTTAGGGACGACCAATTGTCTTCAGCCTTTATCTTTGGGGACGAGAGATTGTCACATTTGTAATTTATGGGGACGATCATGGAGGCAGGTTATAGGGAATAAGAACCACTGGCCATATACTATGTTGGGAGCTCATGTTGCCAAAAGGTTGGAAGCCATCAGTTGCTGCACCCAGTCTAACGTTTCTAGGATCAGATGCAAAAGATGGGTATGTCTCATCAAATGACTTCCACGCAGGAGTATCAGCGGGATGTCGCATTATACCATCATCACTTCTGCCCTCCTTATGCCACCTCGTCTCAGAAGCTGTTTTACTTGACATAAACAACCTCTGCAACCTAGGCTTCAATGGAAAATATCGTAATACCTTGTGTGGTTTTCCCTTCCCCTTGCTGTCTATAGATGCATATCTAGGCAATTTACAAACTGGGCACGATGTTGCATCTTTATGAGGACCCCAGTATAATGTGCAACTCTTCTCGCAGACATCGTACTTCTCATAACCAAGGCCTAATTCAGAAATATACTTACGAGCACTACTGAACGACTCGGGCAAATTAACCTTGCCATCAGGAATTAAGACCCTCAAAATGTCAAGTAAGTCGTCGAATGACTTGTTAGTCCACTTGTGAATACTTTTAAGATGAAGCAGTTTCACAATTGTCGATAGTTTAGTGTACTCACAGTTCGGATACAATTTTTCCTTAGCCTCTTGGAGCAAGCGATAGAAGGCAGCAGCATCTTGATTAGGTTCTTCTGCAACCTCCTCTGTGTCCATACCAAAATCTTCTTCTTCACCTCTCCTGCCATAAATGTCATTTAACAATCCATCCATATCATCAAGAGTATCTTCAAGCATATGGTCTTCATTCAGTTCTTGGGTACTTGTCGAGTCCTGAGTATTACCCGCACCTTCTCCATGGAAGTTCCAAGTTGAATAATTCTCCAAAATCCCATTTTTTAGTAGATGATATTGAACCTCGGAACGACCTTTATATACAGCATTTCTGCACTTTGTACAAGGACAACGAATGGCTTCTTTGTTGGCTGAATGAGAAAACGCGTAATCAATGAAGTTATTTACGCCGTCCACGAATCCCGGTTCTCTCCTGTTCCGTATGCTCATCCATTCTTTGTTTGGAATCATTTTCTATAAAAGATATATAAACTATGAATTATGTCACAAAAATATATATAGATTAGATAATGAAAGAAACAGTAAAAAAATATTAATTGTGCGTACAGTTCTAGAATATGAGTAATTGAACTAAGCATTATACTAACAAAAAAAAAAATTAATTCAACTAAGCTTTGGTGCGTGCAAATCACAGGGAAGGGGCTGAACTTTTTCATTAATGTAACGGATTGGGGAAGGGTTGATTTATTAGCAGTAATTAGGTTAAGCAATTTAGCGGAAAGTAAGCTAGAAAAAAAAAAATTTCGCCAAGCAACCATGATTGTCAGTAAAAGTAAAAAAGAAACAAGAAGCATGAATGAATGAGGCTTTCAAAATCTCTAATTACAAGAAAATAGTTTACCGACAGTTGTAAAATATCCTGATGGTGTTGTGCTACAGCCTGCAGATTCCTTTATTTGAGCTTCTTCCTTTGCTAGTTTCAAGATTTCTTGTATGAAAGTAAGTAGTAGAATCTGATGTTTAACGAAACCAAAACTCACATATTTATAATGTAACAATAACAATCTAATTAGGAAAAGGAACATGATAAAGTACTAATTCAAAAATAAAAAGGATGCCAACAGCCATCACTTTAACAATTACACGTTCCAAGATTAAAAAGAAAAACTAAATGGAAAAGGACATGGGCCTCCAAAATTGAGAAGGAAAAGGTTAAACTTTAGTAGAGAGAAAATTTGAGAAGGAAAGGGAATTCAGTTAAACGTAGAGAAGGAAAAGGGCCTCCTACTTTTGGGGACCAAAAAAATCTCACCTAATCCGCTAGAGAGAATAATTCTGCCCCACCTAATTTAATATGTTCGTTGGAGTTTTTTTGGGACGAGTAAAGAATTAATAAATCACATCTCCTATTTTTTGGGGACAGTTTGGTTTGCTTGTCCCCCGTAAAACTTAAAATCTTATTTCCTGAGACAATATAACAAAGCCGTCCCCAATATTGGTGCCCAAAAATCTTCTTTTTTGTAGTGTAAGCTAAACAAGAATGTGTACAGTTTGACAAGGATGGTTTTGTAAAATGGTTTCAAATAGGTATGAGTGTTATAGGTAACCTCTAAAAACTCCCTGGAACCTCGCCAATTCGCGGTTTGTGGCTCTAGTTCACGGTCTTGTGTGATCGTGAACTAACTGCTTCCACCGTGAACTGCAGCTGCTTCCTGGATGCCTGCGCATCATGATCACTGGGAAATTGTCACGGTCTGGCGACCGTGCGTCCAAACCGTGACTTTGGACTTTTCTTCGGTTTCTGCTCTTTTCGACCTCCAATCGTCTCGAAACTCGTCCGCGACCCTAACACACGTGCTAGGACCTGAAATGTATCAACACAAGCACAACCTAGAGTGAAATATTTTGAGGGATGATGAAATGCAAAGCCAAACTATAAAGAAATGAGTAGGCTTTCCAACGGGCCGGGGAGGGCCTATCCGCCACCCATCTGAAAGCCTGTCGAGCTTTCTCTAAATCCGCCCCACTAGCCCTGTCGGGCTCATTTTCAAGCCCAAAACCGAATCCATCGGGTAACGGGCTACACTCAGGGTTAACGGGTTTACCCTCTACCACCACGACATTGATTCCCCTCAACCGCTGCCGGCCCCGCCAATGAGGGAGCTGGCTTTGCCGGAGTAAGGAAGAGCAGTGTATCGTCTTCCAATAGGTTACGTGGGCTGAGGAAGATCAAGGAGGAGATGCATGCTATTAGAAGACATCATAACATCATCATCATCACCATCATCATCATGAGGTTGACTAGTTGTTGTTGTCGCCACCACCACGAGCTAAGGACAACGAGAGGGTGGTGGTGGTCGTGAAGAAAGCAGCGGCAGGGGAGGTAGGAAAGGATGAATGCGACGACGGCGATAGAGGACGAGGAGGAGGAGAAGGGCATAGGGTCGCCGAGTTTCCGAGTGTCGGGGGCTGCCGGGGCAGATATTATCAAAACCATCACCGCCCGTCAACCGGCTCAGCGGGTTTCGGGCTCCTCGGAACCCGTCAACAATCCGGTCAAACGGGGAATCCGACAGGAAACGGATCGGGCCTGGGCGGGCACCCAAAATTCGGGCCCAGTTGCCAAACCTAGAAATGAGGGGTAAAATGTTTACAATTGGACCCTAATCAGTTATGAATCTTATTGTTTTACACACCCAAATTAAATATGGTTACCCTACTATCAAACAAAACTCGAATAATAAATATATACAAAGAGAAATAGTAGTCTATCAATTTTTGAAAAAGATAAATGGTAAAAGTGGGAAAAAAACTAATTTTTTTTATGTGGTTGTGATGACTTGCCAGCGACGTGGCGTGTTGATGGTTAGTTTACGCTTTTGATGGTCCAAGATAATGGTCAACACTCGGGTTTGGCCAATTTCGTTACTTTAAATGCATAGTTGAGGTCACGATGTTATAGATCGAAAAGATTGATCAGGATGTTTAATTTGTGAAAATTTTGGGTCATACAAATATATTAACCCTTAATTTTAATGTAGGAATGTATATGCATTTGTATTTAATTTTAGGATTATGAACCTAAAGTGTTCCACACAAGTTTCACAATAATTACTTTTTGTCTTTGAAAAAATTGAAATGTGATTCAGTTACCTTTTTCACATTTTAACTTTGGTCCAGTCATTAGTTTTTGCAAAATTTCATTTTTCTTTTCCACCTTTTTTTTCTCCCACAAACTTAGTTCCCTTTTTGCATACATTTGTATGTCGGCTGCACCGAAGCCTCTGTCATTCGTAATACATTTAAATTGCATCATTTTTTGCATTTTGCTTCTGTTTCATTGTTGGTCGGTAAATGAGTAAATCAACCTAGGTCACCACCTTTTTAATGAAATATGCAGTTTGACTTCACTCAATCCACCTTAGTCCTAATTGCTTCACCAAACCTATTTAGATTGGGTTACACAATCTTTCATATCTAATTAATTCTAAACAGTAAATCTTACTTTTACAATAAAAATGCATCAATTACTCTATGACAGCCATAAACTAATTCATATAAGTTGTTTGTTAGAATGTGTATGAGATAAATCAATTGCATAATGCAAAGTTAAAACTTAATTCTATGTAGTTCTAATGGTGATGGAGTAAACTATAAGGAGAAACATCACAGTTGTCACCACTACTATTTTTTATATTTTATTATTAAATTAATATTGTATGGTGTTGTAAATGGAGGCGAAGTGTCTCTATAGCTAACAATATTTATATAAATATTAAAAGATTAAAAGTAATATACAATCATAGATGTAGAGATTGGTAGTCTAGTACTACAACTACATATTAACTACATGCTCTTGATATGCAATTGTCTCTCCCATTCATTGATCTAAACCATGTTTATTTCTTAGGTGCTTATTTACCAATTATGTGATTTTTTTCAATCTTGAACCTAATTCAAGTACATGTTAGTGTTGTAAAAACAAAGTACATCCTAAAAAAAGAAATGTTAGAGGCTCACAATATTAGAGCAAAAAATATAGATCCACGAAAGGCAAAATCAATGAAATCATATGTACAACATATGAAGTTGAATTTTTTGGCAATCAAAGAGTATATGATCATGCATATGATCTTCGAAATTGATGATGAAGTATTGACTCTTATTGCGTACATGGTAATGACTCCTAGCTACACTCAAACTAAATGTGGCAGTCCTCCTATCACACAAAGTTCCAATAATAAATATATACAAAGAGAAATAGCAGCCTACAACTATTAAAAAAATAAGAAAAGAATAAAACGAAATAAAGCATGCCTCCCAGCGGGCGGACACACAAATAGTGACATATTATTATAATGAGTAGTAAGGGAGAACATTAATTTTTAGACTAGCTTTCACAAAGAGATTAAGCCATTAATCGTTTTAATCGGGCGGATGATCCAATTGACTCCTATGGGCTTCCAGGCTTCCAACTCTTGAACTACATTGACTGAAAATGACATTGATGATGCACAAGTATCTTTTCTATATATACCCTTTGGCAGGGTTTATCTGTATGGTTATAAAATGCAGGGACTCGATTGACATTAAAATCCAAATTTCTACACATAATCCATCTAAAATCATGAATCTACATGCATGATAATCAGTAATGACATGCATGATTCATGTTTCACTCACAAAATATACATATCAAGCAACTAGTGAGGGAGAAGGTGTGACAAAAACAAGCTTCCCATCATCATGGTCACTTTGCGTTGCTAATTGCATGATATCAACATATATAATACACGCTCTTCAATCAATATTGTGGGTTTGAGATATCGGAGAAAACTAAATCTAGCATTTGAGACTAATTAGTGGCTAGGGTTGGGTCGGGTATTAACACCGTGGGGGTCAGTCTACCAATCCTATCTTATGTGTTTCTTTTATAAGCTTTTTTCTTGTTTAAGGGAGTGTCTTTAGGACAGTGTCTTTAAGGCACTCCAGATGCAAAATTTGGAGGAAGCCTACATTGTAATATGGAAAGCAAACGAAGAGATCGTTCAAGGGTTGGTGCGGGAACATCCCTTTATGACCACCCTTAACAATGACAAGGCATGGACATTAGGGGATTGGTACAATTCTTCTCCATCAGCAACTCACCAAAACCCTCGGTTGCTTTACTGATTTCAATAGTACTGCTGCATAACCGTTTTTCATGCTGCTTCTTGAAAATTGACATTACTTAGTCTTTTAATACATGCATGCTTCTATTGCTATTGGATTACATCCTCCTTGTGGGTTTTGGTACACAATGTAGGAAAAAGAAACATACAGACTATTGGATTATAATAAATCCATAAGGCGGATATTTGGTGCGAAAATGATATGCCAATATGCAGTTATTCGGGTTTGTGCTCGATCCTAAATGGATCATCCTTCCACAACAAGCAAAAGTCGTTAATGTTCATTCCACGAGAAGGCAAACAATGAAATATTGATAAGGAAATCAAACTTTCTCTAGTATAGGTGGCAGTAACTTAACGTGCTCACTCTTTAGCAATGGTGGCATGACTTGTATACTGGCTCTCTATTTCACTTTCTACCAATGGGGAACCATTTTCTATGTGTTTTTCAGAACTTAGCAATAATATAACATGTCTGTGCAAGACTTAGAGGTTATTCAATTCTTTCAGGGAGGGGTGGGTGAACCAAAATTTCTAGCAAATGTGTAGATGATGGACTATATATGGCACTCTGCCATAATGAACACCTTTTTTTTGTAATGGCCTCTATCTATACACCTTTGTTATATGCCAAGATAAATCTATGCAATGGTGAAGTCAACCAAAAATTGGTTTCCATGTTGTTTAAGTTCTCTAGCTTTGCGGTTAAAATCGTCACAATCATTTTAGTGCTTAACTTATAGCCAATATTTTACATCCAGTCCCCTCAATCCCAATCCTTTGTGCCATAATGAATCCCACTTGTAAAACAATCAATTTGCTTCTCTATCTACTTCTGCCTAGATAGGACTATTTGGTATAAGGTTATTACATGCATTAGACAATGGTCTAATGGATAAACTGCAAGTTTGGTTACTGAGATTAATAATTTGTTTCATGTTTGCCACTTAAAATTTT